TGATTTGATTCGGGCAAAGCTGAGTTTGGAGCATAATGGACTCATAGTCCCCCGAGGCCACGCTCAGACTGTCAGGGGGTGAGGGCTGCTCCCGTGCACCCCTTGACGCCCGCTTCCCGACTGTCCATTTGTGCGCCTGCACCTCCAAGGAACTGGGGAGCATAAAGTCTCCAGACGAGGTTCTTGGCTGGACATGAAGGCTGCACAAGCAGAGACCACGAGCACAGGCGGTGCAGTCACACATCCACGCACACGCGTGCGTCCCCGTGTTAGCTCTCGTCACATGCAAACTGCCGCCCATAAGTGCAGGGGGAGCACCAGACACCCCTGGGCTGGTGCCCCTGCCCGGTCCCCTCGGGCCCTGCCCCAGCCCAGCCTCCTGCAGGAGCCGGTCTCTGGCCACTCCATGCCCACCACGGTCTCACTGCCTGCAGGCCCATGTCCCCCCCAGTGTGCGATGCTGGAGGTGGGGTGGTTTCTTATAGTCGCCCGCTGAGTGCGTATATGAAACTCCCTCCAGGTCTTAGGTGGGTTGGGGATGGAGAGGACACCCCACATCCCGCCTGCAAACACAAATGTGCAGTGTGTGTGCCTGGTGTGCCTGGGAGGGACGACAAGTATGCAATGGGATCGGATGCGGGTCTGGGGCCTGTGTGTGCAGCTGTGGGAAGGTGTGTAAAGGGCAGGAGACACACCAGCCCTCAGGCATCAGGAGAGGAGGCGACAACGTCGAGAGAGGGGAGGGTGTCCTCCCACGGAGCCCAATCTCTAAGTCTAAGCCGCCCTAGGCACCTGCCCACAGCCTCTGGGAGACCTGCCTCCTCTCACGGCCCATCCCACAACCAACAGGCCCTATTGTGACTTCCGTGAACCTGGGCAGGTATTGGACCAGCAGGGAGCCTCCTCCCCGAATGCAGGCCACTCCTGCAGCCCTAACAGCTTTCTCTCACACCTGTAGGCCCCAAGAGGCCAGGCCCCAGCGTGCTCAGTCCCAGGGACAGACCCTCCAACCCAACCCCTTCCCAGACAGGTGTTGTCGGTCCTGCCAAGGCCCCCAGCTTAGCCACCTCCCTGCTCTCTGACCATCTCACAACCTGTGGGCTCCAGGCCTTACTCCCAGAGAAGTGAGAGCCATGTTTGTATGCATGGCTGGCCAAGGGGCTACCGGGCCCAGGGACTCAAACCCATGCGCCCTCCATAGCCCAGCTCTGTGGACTCCCTGGAAAGGAGTCCCTTGTCTAGCCACCTCCCTGCTCCAGACAAACCCCAAGAGAGGCCCCTGACCCCAAAAGTTCCACCACCCTCTAGGCATGGACTCCCCACCTCAGCCTGTCACTATGGACGCTTGCACTCACCATCTGGAGGTGTTGAGTGCACTGGTGTGAAGTGGGTCCCAGGTTTGTCTGAAAAAGAAAACAAATCTCCAAGTTAGGCCCCGAGGAGCAGGCCCCTCCGAAGCCTGTCCCCTCACCCTACCTGGTGAGGTCACTCCTGCTGCCCTGCCCTGGCCCCACCCCGAGCCCTGAGGCCTGGGGGTGGACAAAGGCAGAGGCCCTTGCTCGTCTCTGGCCCTCCAGCTGCAGGCCTGTGGCAGCCACCTACCTACCTGCCAGGTGAGCCCAGTCCAAACCTGCACAGCCCCATTCCCAGCATAGCCGCCTGGCCCCTTCCTCCCCCGCCCCCGAGAAAGTGGTTCCTGCCACTCAGGAGGATGGTCAGCCCCCCGTGACCCCAAGGAGCGGCGTCCAGGGACCCAGGAATCCAGAGTGGCCATCCTGTCCCAAAAGATGCGGGTGGTTCCTCTGAGCTTCACCCTAGCCGGCAACCTCTCAGTGACCCTGCCTGCCCCCTAGTCCTTGGCAGCTGGGGCGGGGAGCTCAGCCACCCGGCAGGGTCCCCCGGGCGGCCACGTACAGCCGTTGAGGAGCAGCAGCACGGCGAGGCCCAGCGTGGCCGTGGCCAGCAGGATCAGGCAGGCGTTGCAGGGGATCATGAGGTAGCGCA